AACTGGATGACCAGCAAGGCAGGAATCAGAGGAGCAATGAGCAGAGCCTCGGTCTCTTTCCCAGGCCCCAGCAATGTGCCTTTTTATCCAAAGGCTGATAAGTGCGTAAGCAATCCCTGCAACAGGGACCCGAACCCGAGTTATCGCTCCCTCTACTTCCCCGCTTTGAAAGTTTTCATCGTTGGGCTTTGGACGCAGGTTCCTTCACGTTAATTTTCCTCTTCCTCTCGGGGCCCTTGCAATCGTGGTTGAACCTCCGGGGAAGGCACAAGTCTTGCACTTCTGAGCCAGCTATTCAGAGCAGGCTGCTGTGTGCAAGACGTGTGTCCTTTTCCCTGCCAGATGCGATCTGAGCGCATCTGTGAGATGGTGCCTAGCTGGCTAGCGAAGCGCAGGCAAGCCTGTTTTGTCAACTCGAACTGCTTTGGGCAGGCCCTGAGCGCGCTGCTGTGCAGGCCCGCAAATGCTCTGCTTTGGTCAAGCCGCTTAGCTGGCGCCTGCGTAACCTGAAGGGATGAAAGCTCCTGAGCCGCTTTGAGCTCTGCCCCGCTGGTAGTTGTGCCTCGAGGCTGTGGGCGTGTAGTTTGTTGGGCCAGCCAAAGGGCTTGTTGAGTCCACTTGGTCCTTTTGCTGGAGGTTGCTTCCTTCCTCCTTCCCTCTCCTCTCCCTCACCTCCCAGCGCCCCCCCGCGCAGCCTGGGTTCGGCAGCGCCTTCGGCGGCAGCCAGGGGGTCAGGGCCCGGGGACGGGAGATGGCCGCTCGCGTGTGTTTGCTCTGTTTCCTGGTTTTCCAAGGTTTAACCAAACCCGTTCTCTATTGCTGGAGGCGTATGAGGAACAACTGGTTGATCTTCCTTGCTGGGACATAGGAGAATATTATGGGTTAATCGTACTGCCAACGGTGATGGGGTCGGAAAGTTCCCAATCTGATTTTTATTAAATAGCTCAGATGATAGATACAAAGGTCTTTATAATTCCAATGGTCGGATTTAAACTGGAAGTTGAGAAATGTGGAATCGCATGCTGTTCTCACAAATGTTAAAGTTTTTAAAAGTCAATGTGAACTTTTTTTTGAATAACTGCTGTAGCTGATCAGCTTTTGTTTTGTATGGATCTTATTTTCTGATGTGACTTAATAAAACTTCGGTAAAATTGTTTAGGTTTTTATGCTAAGTCATGATTTTGCTGTTGACCCTCCCGTCTGAATGACTTCACTATTTAGTGACGTTTGCACTACAGTGATCGTATTTCAGTTTTTAAAATAGGTCTGTTGGCATTATTTTGCAGGCATGTCAAACGATGGGAAGTAGTACTGAACCTTTTATTTGTTGCTCTAAAGTCAATATCTGCTGGATTTTCCCACTTGTTTCACAGACTTTTGACTCTTGCAAAGTGAAAAATCCAAGTATATATAGGTTCCTAAGCTGTACTTTAGAAATGCGATTTTCTTTCTGTCTCTATACAGTGGTAGGTGACCTTGACTCTGCAGTGCTCTGCGCTAAAGCCAGCTTGGTGTTGGCCAGTTCGTGGTTATTAAAGCTTCCTGCTCACCTGGGTGATTGATTGTAGCCTTTTTTTTCCTTCAACTTTCTCTCATTTTTTATTATTTTTGAAAAATATTTTGTGTTCAGCAGTGCATTAAAGAGAAACAATGAATATTTAAAATCACTTTGCCAGCTCTTTAGAGTTTTGCATTGGGCCCTGCCTCCTCATTGCTAGTTCAGATAGAGAACTATTAGCCTACGTTATTTCTGGCCCGTTATCTGACGGACTGGGAAGTGTGATGGCTTAGCAGCATGACAGATAGCAAAGTTTTTCCCAAATTTGCTGGAGGCAGGAGGTGCCTGCCAGTATTTAAGTATAGAGGATAATATATATATATATATATTTTTTTTTTTGCAAGTTTAGTATACAGTGTGGAGGATGGAAAGGCAGAAGCAGATCCTTAGGATCATCAGTTGGAGGAGCTGATAGCTTTTTCAGGGCTGGCTTTTGGATGGATCACAGTTTTGAAAGCTCTCAGCTGCTCTGGCAGTGAAACGGTGCCTGACCATCCTTGATCGACTCCAAAACCTAACTATTCTGAAAGACATGGCAAGAATAGGCAGGCCATAAGATTTATGTTGGACATTCAGTTTGTCATTGTAGATAGCCAGGAGCATGCCCTGGGGTAAGGAGCAGAAGGTACAGTGCAAAATTTCAGTCTAAGATTTTAAACTCTAATACTGTATCAGGGCTTGGAGGGGCTGAGAGAGTTTTATGCAGTTCTGGGGCCAAAGAATCACGGTACTTCTGAAAGGAGGAGTGCAAAGAAGTTTTATCCTGTGAACAGCTTTAATGTTTTCAGACTCATAGTTCTACTAGTATCTGTGTGTGAAAAGACTTGCAGCTTTTATCCTCAGTCCAGCTCTGTATTTTTCTCCCCTTAACTCAGGTGTTCAATGCCGTCAAGAACTGGCTAAGAAAAGTGCTTAAGAAGCTTATTGCATTATAGAACTACTCTCACTTCTATAAACCCGGGGAAAAGACATTTGCTGAATACAGGATCCTTTCCATATACTTAATTCTGAAAAAGTTACTGAGGGTTTCTGTGAAAGCTCTGCTTCAGGGCATATGTAGACAGCCGAGAGAGAGAAGTACATAGCGTGCAGTGGCTTTTGAGCATCGTCCAGACTAGCAAGGAGACCGTTTTACACCAAGCCTAAGACAAACTCAACTGACTGTTTTCCACCAAAAAATCCTTCAAAAAATCCTTTTGGGGCCTCCTCCTATTATTTACCGCAAGGATAAATGATGTCTCAAGCCTGCTAGTATTTGCAGGAGAAGAATGGGAAGAGCAGTGGGAAGGGGAGAAAGGATGCCAGTGCAGATGTGGAGTTCTCTTGGGTGCCGAAGTATGCCGTGGGTGGTCAGAGCCCGTCTAGACGAGGAGTGCAGTGTGGTATTGGCCAACGCGTTTGAGATGTCTAGTGTTACATGAGTCATTTTGACTTCATGCTGTCCCCCTCTTAGGGAGAGCTTAGGCTTTTAACAGAGCAGCCTGATACGTGCTGAAATGTTTGGTGCTCTGTCTGAACTAGACTTAGAACACGGTGGGATAAAAGTAGAGCAAGTTAAGCAGGATAAGGCTTTATTTCCCTTACCGTCATAAATTTTACGCTGTCTTCTGAAGAGAGGTGTGCTTGCCTGCCTGCGTTTTTTCCCCTGTTTCAACAACCCTGGTAAATGCTGGCAAACAGTTTACCCACTGCACTGTCCCATTGAGTCGCCTCATCAACATAGAGTATGGCTCCAAAAGGCAGAGAGAACAGACAGAATCACAGAATCACAGAATGGTTGAGGTTGGAAGGGACCTCTGGAGATCATCTAGTCCAACCGCCCTGCTCCAGCAGGGTCCTCTAGAGCATATTGCCCAGGATCACATCCAGACGGCTTTTGAATATCTCCAGCGAAGGAGACTCCGCCACCTCTCTGGGCAACCTGTTCCAGTGCTCTGTCACCCTCACAGTGAAGAAGTTTTTTCTCAGGTTCAGATGGAACTTCCTGTGGTTCAGTTTCTGCCCATTGCCTCTTGTCCTGTTGCTGGGCACCAAACGACCATCAAAAAGCCAAGCTTCGGCTTTTGGAGAGATTTCTGATGGTCCAAGGGGCTAAGATTTTTGTATTTGTATCTCATAATAGAGTGAGGGAGAACTGGGACTTGCAACAGGGCCTCCCTCCACCATAGTAGATAGTCACCCCAAGAAGGATGCTTAACCTCTTTATTTCTTAGAGGAACATTAGTGGCTAACTAGTCTGATAGTTTGAAGTGCTTTGGAAAAAAATTTTGAAGGGGAGAATAACTAAAGCCATAGAAGTAAATGGAAAACGGGATAAAATGCAACGTAGATTTACCAAAAATTGATTGTACCAACTGATCTCTCCTACTCTGGATATGAAATCCTTTTCTAGATGAAGTAATTGGGGCAGATCTCATGTATCTGGGCGTCTGTAAAGCATTTGATACTCTGCCACATAGGAAATCATAAGTGAAACTGGAGAAGATGAGGATTAGTATAAGACTTGTGGGGGAGGGACTGGCTTATGGAGAAACAACAGGTAGTTTTCAGAGGGTAGCTCCAGTCTCCAGAGGTCAATGCAGAGCTGTTCAAAGATCAATCTTGGAGCAGTCTTTTTAAATGCTGTTGTTTTTTTTTTAACGACCTTGGCACAAAAAGTATGTTGAGAAAATTTTCACAGAACACAATTGTCTTTTGTTAATACAGCAAAGATCTGGGATGCCATGCAGAAGAAACCAGATGACCTTGAGAACTGGAATAATAGAAATGAGGCAGGGTTTTGGTAGTGCATATGCAGGGCTGGTTTCAGTCCTAACTGTAGAAATAATCCTGTCACTTACAGGCAACTTAGTTAAGGGTTGTTCCCTGTAAACTTCTTACATACTGCAGATTTCCCCCGCTTCCAGCTTACGCCCGTGTCTTCTCCCCCTTCGTAGCAGCATGCACTGAGCTGCTCTGAGCAGTGGCAGCTGTGTGTTGGGCACAGTGTACATGCCGGTGGCAGCCGAGGGCCTCGTGCTGCATAACAAACGAAGCTAGAAATGCCTTTCAGTGGAGGCATTGATTTAGATCTGTCTCTCTTATTTAGTCATCAACATGTTTTTAATAAAACTTTTTGGAACTCAATACCCTGGAGGCCTCTTTTTTTCCTCAGACTTGGCTGAAATTGGCTGTTGGTTCAGAAATTGAGGAGAAAGGAAATAGGAAGTATGATCCCTTAGGAAGGGGGAACTTGTCAGTTGGAAACGACATACCAGCATGATCTAGAGGCATGTCTTGATCACAGAATGACTATAAGCTGTTAATAAGCTGCAGCCATCAAACGTCACCAGGAATGATAACGTGGGTGCTTCACTGCCTCCTCTGGAAACACCAAGGGCCATCATTCAAGGTACTGCGATGGTCTTATTTGAAGTGACGATCAGTCCTCTATGCAGCGATCATGACGGATTCAGTGGAAGTGTGTTAGTTGGATGAGGAGATTGAAGAACTGATCTAATGAGAAGAGACTTTTACATTGCTCCTCAGCTTCTTTTCTTTTGCTATGCTATTTCTTATGTCTGTAAGTAAACTGGAGTGAACCTCAGGAAGGGAGAAGAACTGGTTAAGCAGAAGGGTAGTTGGTGTGAGTACAGGAAAATGAATGTAAGCTGGCCCTAAACAGTCTAGAAATGAGAATATTTCTAATAATTGCAGAAAGAAAATATATGTATAATTTAGGATGTATCTCTAATAAACTTATGAAGGAAATTCACCAGTGTGGTGCTTCTGATAGTGTTGGATGTATGCCTTAGGAGCCTGTCTTCAGTTCCTTGTTCTTGGCCCTTCCTTTGAAGATGCAGTTACTTTGCTGAGATTTGGGTAAAACTCCTTGAAGTTGATGGACATAATAGCCATCCTTCTATGAAAATAAAAGAAAAAATCTGTTATGCTTCTTTGTGGCCTGCCTAGACTCCCCATGGAATAGCTAAACCTGGGAAGATCACGCAGAGCTGATCAGGAGCTGAGTTATCTGGGGAAGGCAGGTTTGGGGATCTGGGCGGAAATATAGAGAGCTGAGTATTTTGAACGGGGCCCGAGTACAGCACCATGGCTGTAGCACCATGGAGTACGTGGTGATGATGGCAGCTAGCAAACCTTGTTACCTTAGGGGAAAAACACCAAGAACTTCTGAGTAGAGAAACTCCAACCAACAAAACCCAACTTGGAATGGGATGCAAAGATTTTTTTTTTTTTTTTTTTTAAGGGGACTGCCATCTTTAGGGAGATAGAATAGTGTGCGCTTCCTTCCTTTATATCCCTCTTTCTAAAGCATTTTTATTCTGCTAGAATCAGCTCGGAGTACTCTTAAGCATTGGATAAGGAGTGAAGGACCTTAACGAAAACAAATACTCAACCTTACTCCAAGGAAACCATTAGGATGAAAAAGCCCAAGCTGCCAACTTTTAATAAAACTCTTTAACTTGTAGGGTTTTTTTTTTTTTTTTGGCCTTAATTCTTTAGGAATAAGGCTACATTGAATTTGCCCAGTAACTTTAAATTAAGACATGCCTGTCTGAAAATCAAATCTTATGGATATTCAGTCTGCTACTCTTAAGTCTGTTCAGAAGACCTTGGCCTCTTCTTTCCACTGGAGGTGGATGCTGGGACTTGGAGACTCCTGGGGTTAGCTGTAGCACTGGTCCAGGAGGGAGAAGTTTGCAGGGTGCTCTTGGTTTCGGGTTGGTTTTGTTGCTTAGCCCGGTGAGCCGCAAGGGGGCTCTTCTGGAGCTTGTGCGCCAGCGCTGCCTGCCAGGAAATATCGTCCTGAACAGCGTGACCTAATTTAATATCGAAGTAGCAGCCCCTGGTTGTGAAGCTCTTTTCATTTAGTCACTTTTCTGACTGGAACAGGACTTTGGAGCTCTGCACGCGTTCTCCCCGGGTGTTTGTGTGGGTGGTCTGATCTGGCCCTGCACCGCTTCTTTTGAAGTAAAAAGTCTGATTACTTTGTGGCCGTGTAATGACTTGTCGGTATCTTGTCTGGCTTGGTTCTCTTCTGATGCCGCTGCCAGCCCCATGTGCTGTTGGTATGTGGAGCGACATTAGCAGGAAGGTGGATCAGAAGTGGAACTTTGTCATGAAAGAAAATCCACGTTGTGAAATGCATTCAGAGTTCTTGTGCCACTTGGCCAGAACGAAAATCCATTCTTCTGCCGTTTTGCAGATGCTTTTGTTGACGCTATGATTCCTGTTTAGAAAGGTAATGGAAATCAGACTTGGAAAAAATGGCACTGCAAACTTGAGAGCTCAATGTCTGGAATGTTATCTTAGTGGACTGCTAGTTATTTCTGGCATTAAGGTTCCTATTGGCAATAAATTGTTTTCCAAAATTCAGTAACAGAACTGCCTCAGGGTTTAGGAGGTGCAGGAATACTTCCTGATGTCTCTTAACCTGTTCTTTCTTTTTAAAGCAACATGAAGAAAAGTTATATCAACGGCAGTGAGAAATAACAACTTGTTAGTCGGTGTTCTCTTGGTCTGCCAGGAGCAGTGTGTGTTGCTTTCAGCCACTCTGGACCTTTTTTGTCTTGTTTTCCTGATAAGTCTTGCTTTGTATCATGCAAGGTCTCCATTTCCAGCTAGTGCTGCCTGTGCTGTATGAGCATGTCAAGCTGTCTGAGATTGGCAGGATACAGAATTGTTTTAATTTGTTTGCAGATGTTGAAGTTGAAAGTCAGACTAGCCTGGTTCTTTAATACACTTGGAAGAGCTTTGACTGTTGCTGTAGATATGAAAACAAGTTAATTGGGACAAGTTGTGGAATTAATGCATTTGCGGTTGTGCAAACTGAGGCTTAATCTTGGTAGCCTGCTTAACTTCCTGCCCAAGTGGACGCCAATCCTGCATCAGCTGATGCACAGGGACGTACTGAAGTGCGATAACTTGATCAGGAGTTGAGTTGTGTAGTTTAGGCCACTCTGAACTGTATTCATGGGAGCTTGCATTGGTCAAATGGTAACAAAAAAGCTACTGAACTACAGTTTTAGCTGTATAGCTAAGGGACTCTGAGAGATCAGATCTTTACTGCTCTCGCTCATGGTAACATAGAATTTACATTTGTGAAATGAAAGGGTGGATGAGCTTCCCTCCTGTTGTGTAATGGGAATTTATAATGTTTTGTTTTGTTTTTTGACAGAGTGGAAACAGCTTCCATGTGTTTGACCAAGGCCAATTTGCCAAGGAGGTGCTTCCAAAGTACTTCAAACATAACAACATGGCCAGCTTTGTACGGCAGCTCAATATGTGTAAGTATCTTCTGGGCAGCTCAAAGTGCAAAGTAAAAGTTGTCCTGAAATAAGGTTCCGTTCTTCTGCCCAGGTGTAATGCAGGGGAAATTTGATTTGATTGGGAGTATTTGCTAGCTTTGCAGTTGTTCAGATTTTTGGGGATCAAGTAGTAGTTTTAAGGTTGGCCCCTACTGAAGGGAACAACAACTTCTAACAAAGTGATCGCCTGCTTTAGACTCATACAGACTTCTTTTATCTTGATAGTCCTTGATTATTAGAGCAAGAGTTCTGAATGCTTTCCTTGTGTTCACCTACAATCGACATTTGAGACGGCACTCTTTACTGTGTGCACACTGTGTAATGAAGGAGGAACTCATCTGGCATGCTTCCAGCTAGACAGAATGCACCATATATGACAGCTTGTTAATCTTCTTATCACTTTCTTTAGGGGGTGTTGCTGCCAGAACCATTTAAAGCAGGCATTGACTGAGCTTGTTCTTCAAAACTAGCAGTTATTTTAATTTTCTTTCCGTAAAATCAGAGCAGAATAGGGCTGGAGGAATCTCACCGATCATTTAGTCCAGTCCTCTGCTTCGGGGCGGGATCAGCTATGTGTGTTCCCGGGTTCAGCTGTGTGGTTCCTGATGGCTGTGCGTCTAACCTGTCTTTTCAAAGCCTCCAATAACAAAGATTCCGTAAGTTCCTCAAGAAGTGCTTTAGTGCTCAGGGTAGTGAAGCACAAGAGTAGATGGCTGATGTCTAACCCAAACCTCCCCTGCTACAGTTTCAACCCTTGACTTCTTTCCTGTCTGCTGCAGATGTAGGAAAGAGATTCATTCCTTTTCCGTTTGCATCAGCCTTTCTGTCTTTGAAGGCTTAATACCTCTACTCAGTCTTTTCTTCTCAGACTAAACAGCCTGCTTTTTTGTTTCCAATCTTGTAGGTTGTTTGCCGGCCTTTAATCATTTGCATTCCCTTCTGAACTGTCTTTTTGTTCCATCCCTTTGTTGAAGTGCAGTGCCCAACATTGGCTATATCGCTGAAGAGAACCAAAAAGGTACTTTGTCTTGACGGTGATGCTCCTGTGTATACATCCCGTTATGGCATTGGCCTTTTTCTCAGTAGTATGATATTGACTTTCATGTTCAGCCCATAATCAACTACAGGCCTCAGTTCCTCTTGTATTTAGCTACTGACTACCCATTAGTTTTCTCTCTCTGTTTGTTCAGTTTTATTCCTGCCTCAGAATTGTATCTTGTACTTGTCAGGAGTGAATTTCATTCAATTTGTCATAATCATTATAAATGGCAGTCCTGACCTTCAACATATTTGCAGCTCTTCCCAGCTGTGTTTCATCAGCCGGTTTGGCAAACATATTCTTTTCAATCCTTCATGCCATTAATGAAAATACGAAATAGTACTGGGCCCACACTCCTATACTCAACACTACGATGTCTTTTGATAACTGCTCCCTAAATAAGGCTTTCCTGTTGGTTTTCCACACTTTATATCAGTTTCATCGCAGTGATTTCCATGGTTTGAGAATGTCATGGCTTGATTGAGATGTCTGCTGCTTTTCTAGTGATAAAGCGTGCTAGCCTGTCATAGAAGAAAATTAAATTGGTTTAATGAGCCTACCTGTCTTTTTTTCTTTTTTCTTCTTTTTAGTTGGTACTTATGCACACATGTGCGTGCAAAAAGTGGCACTTGCTTTTGCATTGTTATCTGAGAAGGATCAAAAGTTCCTAGAGAATTAGGGAATATTCCACTCCACATCACACTTCAGGAGAGGTACGCCCAAAATACCAACGCCTGCCAGGGGAACAAGAATGTCATAGGGCTAGTGGCATGTCATCAGACACTTGACAGCCAAACATGTACACAGTGTAGGTTATCGGTGATTTTTCACGATTCTTGCCTCCCCTCCCCGCCATAGGACAGGAGAGAAAGCTTTTGTCTGGCAGGTAGCAGGGCTCAGCTGCTGCCTTCTGCTGGCAGCCAGGCAGCGGGGTGGGAGGTTAGTCTGCAGGAGGACAGGTTTCTTCAGCAGCTTTGCTTCCCTGCTCAAGTCCAATGACCTTTCCAGCTGCACTTCTCTTGTCTGTCCTGTCACCGTATCTGACTTGGATTGGAGGGGGATGATACTTCTCTAAAGCACATGGCCACAGGTGCCTTTAGTACTTGCATATCCTGGAACGCTTTGGAATAGCATCAGCCTAAGCCTTAGCTTGTAAAATAAGGCAAGGGCTGCCTCTCCAACTTACGCTGTTGTAACTAGGGAAGACGAAGAAGAAAGCAAGCTGTCTGGGCTGTTCCGTCTCGCTGTGTGTGTAATGTTAAAAGGTCAGGGAAGGGCAAGGGGAATAACAATCATCTGGGTGTCAGCTCCTCCTTTCAATAGCAAGGGTAGAAGAGCTGGGACAGAATTAGATTAGAACAGACAAAAGCACATCTGAGTGATAAGGTTTTCCTTTGGGGGCAGCGGAGGGGAAGGCATGTAATAAATGTCCAAGATCAAGTTAAAAGACAAGTAAAATTTCTTTCTGACAGCAGCTTTCCTGAGTGGTTCAGTATTTCTGGGAAGAAAAAAAAAAACACGTTATAATCAGAAGCTTGAATTGAGATCTTTTGGAAGACCTCAAGAATCTGATTCTCCTCACAAAATTCCTACCTTTACCCAAATTTTTGGATCGTTCTTGCATGTTCTCTTACACTATCATCATAGCGTGATGCAGTGTTGTGACGGCAAAAAGCTAGATTTCCCATACAGCAAGCAACAGAAAAGTTGCCTGTTGGAGTTTCTTGCACTAGAAAATGAATAAATGTTAACTTCTCCTCTTTTCAGGTGTTATTTTTTTCCTCTAAGCTTAATCTGTATTTTAATATCAATTCTGTTCTTTCCAGTCTGTGTTGCAGAGGCTTAAATTTACTTCAATTATGTAAGGGACTTCGTAGCTCATGATTGGTGGCAGTTTGAGGATTTCAATTTATTTTGTAGTTGAGTGCTATTAAGGCATGAATGTGCCCGGTATTAAAAGTAAAGTCGGAATTTGTCCCCTCTTTGTCCTGTTTGCTTGAAGAACAGAGCTTGCTGAAGAAAAAGGTACTGAGATGGCACCTGATTGTCTGTGCTCAGCTTATTGGGATTTGCTTGTTTCTAGTACAGCTGTGCACTTATTGCTGCAGTTTTCTGAAATAACTGTGTGTTTAGCTTAGTTGTATGTTTTTATGTTGCCTGTTCACAGTGAAGTTTGAAGTTAGTTATCCTGGTTGGATGACTAGCCCGGTCGGAGGTAGTTCCACAGTAATAACATGAAGAGTGCCCCCGAGCTAGCGCTCGGGCTGTAAATCCAGTTACACTATTCCTGCGCAACACCTGAGTAAGGGTTATGAAATTCTCCAAACTGGCGTTTTTTGGGATGTGCTGAGGTTTGGCCATCTTTCTTTATGCGCCCACAGGCGAAAAATGTGGTCTGCTGTGACCCCATATGTAGACGTTACCCAGGGACGCCTCTGCTCCTGTTCTAGTTGCTGTACTAGCAGACTGAGTCGGGTGTTGGTGGTACAGATTGGGTGCTTTCAGGACAGGAATGGAGGACTGTTGGAAATTGGAAAATTACTTTTTGCTGTTCTGACCGAATATCTTAGTGTTCCTGCGTTACTAGTTCCATGTCCTCTACTAACCAAGCAATATTCTCCTTCTCTTCCCCCTCTGGTTTTCCCAACTTACACTGCTTAATCCTCCTCTTGCTCTTCAGGTATGCAAGGAAATCGAGAAGTGACTGACTGTGTAAATGCTGCAAGATTGATCGGTGTATTTGTGACTGCTCTTTCCTGCCAGCGAGCAGGAACGTTCTGGGATTATCCCAGAGACGTTGCTTCATGACAGTCTGCTCAGCTTCCTCTCGGTGCACACATATCCATATTTACATTTTGGCTGCAAGTTCTTGTGATAGGCAGCAACATAAAGGATGCCTTTCATACACCTCTCACGTGGAGGTTATATCAGGGATTAGCTTTAATGCTCCAGATGTGGGCTTTAGAGAGCATTCCAATGTTATTAGAAAGGATGACATTTTCATTACCTTTCAACACTGGCTCTTTGAATAGCTGTGGGGCACATTCTGTGGTTCATGACCAGGGCCTTTAGTTTTTAAGGATCACTTGAATAACTGAAAACTGGCTAATATCACTACAATAATGTGTAATTTCTCTAAGTCACTTACTCTCTGCAAGTGCAGGAAGCTTCCCCCCCCCCCCAACCACAGCTGTGGTATGTCAAACTTAAATAACGCTCTTGATTTATCCTAGTGGTTTACAGAATTGCTGAGCCCCCAAAATACTTTGATGCACTACGCTTCTTGAGTGGCTCTTAGGTGTTTTAAGTACATCTGAAGATTTTGGTGCCTGACTTCTGCCTGAACTGCTCGGAAGGCACTTTTCAGCGTGTCATTTCTCTGCCTTCCCCAGGGAGCAGAACTGCACTGTCACCGTCGCGCCAGGAGGCCGCGTCGCTCCACGGCGAGCGGAAGCGATGCTTAGCACGGCAGTTGCAAGGACCTGCGCGGAGCCAGGATGTTCTTAATGGCAGACTCTGTCTGTATCACGCACATTAGGAGGAGAGAACTGATCTGGATTTATATTTCTTAAGGGGGAGTAGACCATCAACACCCAGTTCTGGCTTTAGTGAGTCGGTTAACTTGAATGTCTGCTTCAAGACTGCTAACCCCGTTTCAGAGAGTGGTGGGGGAAGTCGGTTCTGCCTTCGGAGTGCTGTACAGCCCCTTTGGGAGGACGGGTCTGGAGGGCAGCTTGCTTTCACTGGCACAAGCCTCCAAGGCAGGCGATTCTCTGAGCTGGTGCCGTGCCTGCTGCGCAGGAGCAAAGTCGGTGGTTCAGCCTTGCGCTGAAAGTGCGTGTCTGCTTAGGCAGAAGCCGGCGGTCAGGTCAGGCAGTTTGGGCTGTGGCAAGAAGCGTAGTAGTTATCAGCGCCCTTGAATTCTAATCCTCCTGCTACGGCCTGCTCTGAAGCCTTTGGGAAGTCGTTTATCTTCTGTGCCTTGGTGTCTGCTTTACCATAAGAAATTTTCTCCTTGTTTTCAGGTTAAGGATTAGGGTTCCTTCAGAGCCTAGAATGCAGATTCACTGCAAGAGTGCCAGGTACAGCAGCCTGCACCACGCACTTGTAGGGTGAGGCGGCATGCGCTAGTGCGAGAAGAAGGCGTTAACGCACTGAAATGGAGGCCTGAGGGGCTTGGGAGGCGTGAGTTCGGGTTCGCGCTCCGGGGCAGCTTTCTGCGGGCCGCGGCCACGCTGCTTGCCCTCCGTCTGCCCGGGTCCTCCAGCTGGGGAGCGGGAGCGTTTCTGTGCCTCGCGCTGAGCCTAAGAGGCGTTTGGAAGTTGAAACAAGCACTAGGATAATAAGCGATATCAGAAGAAGGCATATTCACCGCTGTAGACAGTGATCAACATCGCGTTACAAAAACTGAGCTCTGGAAGTGCCATCTCTTTTCATGAAATATGAAGCACATTTCTAACTGCTTATTTTGAATAGAGGAATAGCAGCAGACTGGATAAGTCTTGGATGAGTTCAAGCTCTGGTAGTTATTTTCTTACGTAAGTTCAATTAAATGCAGTCATGCTCATCTCCTGTTGCGTGCTGATAAACGCTTCTAGGGTTTTGTCTCAAAAGTATGTGAGATGATAGGCAGTGCTTCTTTATCTGCATCATGTATATTGCTGAGCACATTGCTCTTAGAGGCGACTTTATTCCCTGAATAAGGAAAGCAAGTCCCCTGGGAACGCATGGGGTGTTTGCTAAACGGCTGTCTCTTTGGCGGTGGTCTTGAAAAAAAATGTTTTGCTGAAATAAATCTTTTGTTATCCTGCGTTGTGTTGAAAAGGTAAGTTAAGATACTGTTTACTCTCAGACGCCACATAACAGTGAAGTTTCCAATGAATGAGGGACTTACATTGGAAAACAGCAGGATTAGTCTGAGGCTCTTGTTTTAAGTAATTTGAGCCTTTCTTCTTGCTGACCTGTGCTATCAGCCAAACATGCAAAAGTTAGTCTTGCAAGAGCAGCAAAAGGAGTTTTGCGAAATGATTCCAGGATGCAGGTGTCTGCATCTCTTTTCAGGTGTCTGTTTTTTCCAGGCTGTAGCTGAAGGCAGGGAGCCGCATGGTCTGCCTCGGCCCTTCTGGAAAGAAACAGAGCAGAAGGGAAGGATGGGGTGACTGTGGAGGACACATACCACTTGCTGTTCAAGCCACATAAAGAGGAATAGCACCAGGCCTGTGTTGGAATATCTGTCAATTGAAGGAAAGGTTTCTCATTCCATGCACCATTTTCAGGATGAGATTTGTTAGAAGGGGGTATTACACTGACAGAGAACTGTGTCTTTAAGCAAACAAGGATAATTTGTGCTTGCTTTTACTTTCTCAAGTTCGTGTTTAGCTTGCTAAGTTCTTCTCCGATTATCTACCCTTTGACTTTCAGATGGCTTTCGAAAGGTTGTCCACATTGAGCAGGGAGGATTGGTGAAGCCAGAGAAAGATGATACTGAATTCCAGCACCCATACTTCATCCGAGGCCAGGAACATCTCCTGGAGAATATCAAGAGAAAAGTAACCAGCGTAAGTTTATGCAACAAATATTTCAGGATGAACTCTACGTAAACTGTTTACAAATGGAGAATTAGTCAGAAAAGCATCAATGTGCTTTAAGGGTTGATGGATGCTGGCATCATGGTTCTTGTGTCCTGCCAGCGGCTCTTCTTGCTGGCTCTACCTTCTCGCACAGGTATAAGCTGCAGCGCTGTCCTGCTAACCAGCTGGCTTCAGATTCTCGGTACCAGTCCTTTTTGTTAGTGGATTTTTCTCTCAGTGCTTCCAACATTAGGTTCGTTACGGTGCTGCTTGGGACTTCTGCTCTCTCCTACGCTCCCGAAAGAGAAGAACTGGCATTCTGGCCTTTCAAACCAAATGGTCTGTGGGAGTCAGTAAATAAGAGCTGGTTTCGTCTTCAAATTTTTCCTTTTTTTCTGGACCAGTTTGGCTTGATAGAGGAAAGTGTGCTGTGTCTCCTGGAGGGATTGAAAAGCAATTGTACTTTTCAGTAAGAGGGGCAGAGGGAGCGTGATCACTGATTGCACTGCAGTCTTTACTTAAAATGTTTTAATGAATGAGAAATATGCACATGCAGTGTGTACACGCACAGAGGTGTGAAGATATGTTAGCTGTGGTAGTGGGAGGCAGAAGACGAAGGTCAAGGTACCTGAAATGTTTTAAATGTGTTAGCCTTTTGAGTATCCCAAATGTAAACTTATGCATTTTCCCTTTAAATGTATGGATGTGCTTTACAACTGCCCCCGTTTCTTGAAATACAGAATTGCAGTCCATGTTCTGAAGACAAGGTATAGCAACAGTTGATATCAGGAGTTCCAAAAACGCTTATACACTTTTGGGGCTAATTTATTGGTCTTGAAGTGCAGATTGGAAAAACATGTTTTATTTATTTATTTCCAAATATTATTTAGAGCAGTGTGTAGAGAACAACTCACGCTTCTCTGTCGCAGGGTGCTCTCAAATAACTGTAAGTGCCATTTTCACTGAGGCCTTTAGTTCCTCTAGACATTTGCACAGTGGGCAAACGTGTTAGAAGGATGTGAAGTAGAGATCTTAAAGATAGATGAGCTGCTGGCAAGTAAAGTGGAGAGAAGCTGCTATCAAGTAGGTGAGATGTGTTAACCCCTGTAATGGTTGGCAGATTCATAGAGTTCTCACATGGTATGGCGCTTGTGAAACATGCTTAGGTGTCATTTCTGATGAGTATGTTATCAGAAAAATAAAATCATCTACTCAGAATCTTTTCCTCAGCTGCTTTAGCACTTGTAGTGGAAATGATGAGCAGCTCTGCCTGCTGCCCAGTAATTTCTGGAAGAGGCTTACCATTCTACCTGCTGGCCTTTGCCTGAGCAAGTCTGCTTTCTGTGCTGCAGTGAGCTCATCTGCCCTTTTTCTCCTGTTTTCTTTCTCAGATCAACTAGTGTCTGTTCTTAATTGCTGAGACCAATATTCAGTTCACTGCATGCAGCAGAGACTTTTGAAAGTGTTTGAAAAGAATGTTTGTTCCATATCTGCAGTGTAAATACGCTCTCAGGTCTTTGTGGATGCTAAGTTTTAGGGTTCAGGATTGTTATTCTTATACATAGGTATGTCTTGGTCCAGTGCCTATCTGAAGGTTAGCACTAGGCAAACAGCTCTTGTGCGGGTGTTCAGTTTTACTTGAGCACTGTGTTTCTGTTCAAAGGGCTGCAGCAGAAGTTGATGTTTGCAGATAGCAATATGCTCGTGGAAAGCCTATGTTGTAGATAGCTGGGTTTAGTCCCTTGATACTTGGAATCAGGTGTGAATGTGGCAGTTGATCCAGAGAAGGGCGATGGATTATTTGCGATACCAACTTTGATACTTAAATAACCATTTTGTAGGAAGAAAGCATCACTGACCTCTTCCTTTCTGTCTCCAGGTATCCAGTATAAAGAATGAGGATATAAAGGTTCGTCAAGACAATGTAACCAAGTTACTGACTGACATCCAGGTGATGAAAGGAAAGCAGGAGAGCATGGACTCCAAGCTGATAGCCATGAAGCAGTATGTATGTGGGGAGGGGATGACAGAAAATGCAGGAGAGTGTGCTCAGTTTGATTTCTTTCCTGAACGCGTTATTTTTAAGACTTCATCTCAGAGAAGGCTAGCTGCTGCAGCTTGCTCTCTGTTCCTAGCAGCCAGTTCTCTCAGCTGCTGTGGAGGAAAAGAGGGGGGGTGGTGGAGGGACCTTTGGAACACCTCAGAACCCATTAAAGGCCATCGTATCATGGTGGCCAGACTTGCAATCCCAAACACAGTGTAAAGCTTCTTTGGAATCCGGCTCTGCTTTGAGGTACCAGTTGGAATGGTTGTGAGGACTTCAGAAACCTGCTTCTCTGCCGTGGGGGTAGTAATCTGAAATTTCAAACTCTGTGTGGTGCTGGATTTTTCCTTTGTGATTTTTTGTTCCTCCAACAAAACATATCTGTCCTTGTCTTATGCTGCACCAGGGAATTCAAGCCACTTGGGGTAATGTTTGCTATACTTTTGTCCTAATATTTTCTTCCACCAGGCATTTGACCTCTTGCTTGCATCCAATTAACTTCTCACTGGATACTGCTCACCCAGCATTTGCTGTTGGGTTTGGAGGCAGAACAGGTGGTCTTGAATCCCACTAATACTGCCTTACCTTTAGAGATGATCAGGGCACTGTTTTTTACCCTTCTTCAACTAAATCTGCCCTTTTTCCCATGGTGGTCATACAGAAGAGTTTAGCAACGTCACTTAAGTATGTCACCTACTCAGAATCCTTAAGCAGCGCTGCAGGAACTGGCTGCCCTCCCAGGTGGTAGGATTTGTGTATAATCTGCCAGCTGCAAGACTTGCATTGCCTTTAAGTTTAGACAACTGTTGAAGCCAACAAAGGTGGGGAAATGGGTGTTTGTTTCCCATAGGCAGTCTTGCTTTAAAGCTTTTTTCCTGTTTGCCTGTCTACAAAATGGAGTGAATGGTACGTCAGTGAGTTTATTTTATGTCCAGCTTCTTCATCTCTGTCATTATTTCTAAGGAATCTGGTTCTGGGTCTTATGGAAAACAGAGCAAGCAGCTCTCGCCCTCCGTTCTTGCCGATTAAAACAGGAAGGCAGGGTGGGGGAATCTCAAAGGGACAGTTGCACAGTGGAAAAATGTTTCTTCCACGCTGTGTTCCAAAGTCTCCCTTGTCCTGGATTTCATTACTATATCTTGTGCTTGCAGATCACTTCTCTAGCACCTCTGGTGTTCATGGGAGGGGAGAGAACCTGCTTCGTCTCCAAGGTCATTCTAGATGATTCTCTTCATCTTCTATTTGCCCCAGGTATGAGCGCCCAGCCTTATATCTAGGCTGTGCTTCTCTTCAGGCTCTTTGCGAGGGGAGAAAGAAAAGTAGATTGTCCTCCTAACCTATTGGTAAATGGTGTCAGGTAAAAAGAGTTATGCACCATTATCAGTATTTCAGTTTCATGTGTCTATAGACAACAGAGATGGCTGTTTCCTTTTTCCCCTTCAAGCAAGCAAAGTGACTTGCCTAGCATGGCTTTGAATGAAAACCTCATATGCAGTCAACTCTGAATTACCAAAAACCCTACCTTAATACAGCATACTCAACAAAGCTAGTAGCTAGCTGTATTCCTTTCCTAAACAAACAGAAAAACCCTTCACTTCTCGTCCAGAAATGCACAAGTTATTGCAGATGACTAGCTAGCATTGGACCCACTGCTAGATCCACAACAGGATAAATCTGTGTGCCCCCAGATTACTGGAAGCTAATTTTTTTTCCACTTTCCTGGAAAAGCAGTCAGCTGCCTGAAACGTTTAGTTTGCCTCTCACTGTGATGCGTCGTGTCTTTTGGCAGTTCTGGACCCAGCCATTATCGCTCCGAGCAAATGTGGGAGGCTTCTGCTTTTGCATGTTTGCATTCTGTACGTTGCGGGAAGAATAAGCAACATCAAGAGCCATCTTTAAACCCAGCTGCCAGTCTTGTACTCCCAGCACGTGGTGCTCATCTAAATTTCGGTGGCTTTTGCAGTCCCGTGGCATGTTTTGAGATGAAGTTTCTGGACTTGTACCCCTGTAGTAAGGATGAGAGCATTCACAAATGCGTTACGGGTCTCTGTTCGCTGCATTCTGGCTGCTCCGTTGGCTCTCGCTAAAGCAGAAGTTACCATTATTAAATATAAATGGTCAGTAAGCCACTAGGTGGAGTGCATATAGCAGTACTTTGAGCTCTACTAATAGCAAAGAACTGACAACATCTCTCAAAGCAGCAGAATTTCCCCTTCCCCTTACAAGAAGATAATCATTAACCAATTAATATAAAATATCTTTTGCACCTTTTTTTGGAAACTATAGGTAAATAGGCTCCTGTAAGGTGATCAAAATAAAATGCTTAGCGTGAACTGTATGGATTGTGCAACTCTATTAGCAGGTCTTCATCTTTAGACTGATACTTGAAGTAAGTGCGGTACCAGCTGAGCCAGCCTAGCAGCCCTCTCTCCTGGAGAAGGGAGGCTGCTGCTGCTCACTGAGCACCTGCTCCCGCTCTTTCACTCGCCTTGATTCTGGTACTTTGCCCCAAGAACCATACTAGCAGAACAGAAAACTAATCCAACAAACAGAACTGCCAGCCTAGCTGAATAGGTTCAGTAACAGGTCTGACAAACGACACAGGAGCAGGGCAAACGGGACCACCAGTCTTTCGCAGTGGCAAGCCGTCCGGCTTAGCTGTGTTGTGTAACTTCCCCCTAGGCATGTGCTGTGCAGGCTGCGGGTTAGAACGTCCAGCTGCAAGCTGTTTGTAGCTTGTAATAGCATAATAACCTTTTGTTGGTTTAATGTACTCCATTCTTCCTGGCTACTTCTTCATCCTTCATGGCCATTAGTAACTATTTTTTCCAGTCTTCTGCAGGTTCTCCATATCTCTCAATAAACACAGCTTTTGGATCTGTTTCTCATTACCTTTTAATTCTTCCCATCTCCATCATTAGTACCTGATCCCTCAACTTGGACTGCTGTTCCTTTTCTGGAAGGCAGAACATACGAGTCATCTTTCATCTCTTCCTTTTCTCAGTAACTTTTGGCTAAAAATTCTCCTCTTGCTTCTTGAACAATAATATATCCAATCCACTTAAGATTACTCTTTTTAGTTATGGCCTGTAGCAAGTTTCAAAGCATCAGCTGGTTCTTATCTTCAAATCATTGTCACTTATTTTCCTGATGAGTTTTTAAGTGTGTTCTTGAGGCCCTGCTTCTTTACATCATGTTGCATCTCTACAGTAGGATTTTTCCAGGTTCTTCTCCTTCCACTTTACCACACCAATGTCAGTGGTCAACTTCCTCTGGCATCTGTTTAGCTGCCATCATTTCTTAGATGCAATGATGTGCATTAAGGCCTTTCAGCTCGTTCCTATTGTGCTCGTTCTCCTGGTGAATTGCTTCAGTTGGCAGCAGCCAGGGTCATGTTGGAATCACGCCTTAACTTGACCAGAAAGTGAGCAGAGAGCTTTGTTGCAAACTGTGTGCTAACAATGTCTTTTAATCCTCTATCATGGAGGCTTGAAGTAGGTTAATGGCTCAATACAGAAGCCATTTGTATCAGTGTAAGATGGAAGAGACTTTGCTCATGACGCAGAACGTTCAGACAGAACCGTTGTTTCGTTGGCCATTCGTGCAGACAAGTGACTGCTTTCTGACCACTTCTGTAGTGACACTGCTTTGTGCAGGAATTGGAAACAGCCTGGTTCACACTGTGACGGGCTTGTGCCTTCTTGATAAGGCTCAGGCTCCTCTGCAGGACTGTTGGGACTGTCTACTTTAGAAAATGAAGCAGCAAAGAAGACTCTCATGCTGTTTTGCTGTGTTCCGAGATGTATAAGAAAGCCGTGAATCAGTAAGGAGGGGGCCAGTTGTCAAGAAAAAAACTTGTGTGTGGCTCATCTTTGAAGGAGTTTAGAGGCGACCTCCTAAAGTCTCTATACAGAAATATATGGCACTTCAGACTTCCTTGCACTGTTCTGAAAGGTCCTGACTTCTAGAAATGACCACCAAAAGTTCAGGAGCTAGAGTGGGTTAGTAAAGTTCCTTGTGTGAAATGAACTTCAATTAAATGTCTTAATTTCTTCATCTGTGAGTTAGAAGCAGGTTGATTTTGCTGTAAAACAGCTGATGTTTATTTGACCAAATGTAAAAATAGAAAGAATGAAGAATAGTAATTTTCTGAAAATGAGCTTGCAGGGGGACCAAAAGACCCTCTCTGTGTTTGTTCTCATTTGATAATAATGACTATACATATACAGGACCTCAGTTAACTGTCAACTTTGTAAGAGACATAGGTCTGACCACAGCCAGGTGAGTGTGTCTAGTTCTTGTGTCAATAGCGTGAGAATGAAATATTGAGCAAACTTCAGAGACGGGAATGACTAGAGTGTTAGAAAACATGCTGAGTGATGAGGGACTGAAGGAGCTCAGCCTCCTTTATTGAAAAGGATGCTGAATGTTGGTGTGCCACCTCTGGATGTAATTCCAGACTGAGGAACTGTAGTTTGATTATTTTTCATGCAGCGACAAAGGTGAAGCTCAATAAAAATAGACTAAAAATAAGGTCTGTGCTCTTAAGTGAAAAAAAGTATTTGAATAATACGTGGAGGCTTTCTCCCTTTCAGCCACAGCTATTGGACTTGAAGCAGGAATTTTTTTTTTTTCCCCTTTGGCAGTTCTGTGTTTCACTATCTTTACTGAATTGGGGTGGGGTTTTTTTTTTTTTTTTTTTCCTTTCCTCCCTCCCCCTGGCTTGAAGGTGTGATGCCATAAAGTACGCTCTGGAAAGATTTAAGTTTCAGATGCCTTGCTAGTATTCCTCTTCTCCTTCCCCATCATGGATAGGCCTCTCCCTATTTTACAGATTTTAAACGATCCAGTTCCAAGATTTTTCTTCCTTGAATGGGGTATTAGCGTATTGGTAGGCACTGCATGAGATGACCGTAGATGTGACTTTTCCTCCATGTTGAATTCTGATCTGACTAGACTT